TCTGAGAACTGTGTCATTCTTGGATGGTTAATTGGCTCGATGGAGTCATCTGTTTGCAGGATCCACCAGTTTCATAGCTCTGTTCCAAAGCTATGAAGCGCATTATCAGAGATGTATTCTCAGTCAGGACGGGGAGTTCGTGTTTATGAGCTTTCTCAGGAGCTCTCATATGTTCGGCAGGGAGATATGACCATTCAGGATTATTATGGCTATTTGACCCAGCGCTGGCTTGAGTATGAGACTCTACGTCCTCTTGCTGCTATTCCGAGGATAGAACCCGAAATAGCAGCATTTTTGCATACTCGAGAGCAGGAGGATAGGATTCACAAATTTCTTATGGGGCTTCATGATGAGTTTGAGGGACCTCGTTCTCAGATCTTGTCGATGTTGACACTTCTTTCTCTTTATGAGATGTATGGGATGATTGAGCAGCATGAGCGTCGAGTCCGTATTGCATCACTTCCAGTTGCGGCTTTGACTCCTTCGGTTGACCAGATGGCCCTTGCAGCTGCTGCAGGGTCTCGTTCAGGATCCTCAGTCAGGGATGGGCAACGCTCAGACCAGCGTCGTCAAGGCGCCCCAGATCAGCGCAGACGGGGGGATTCCCATCAATGTGATTATTGTGGCCGACCAGGACATCTTAGGGCTACTTGCTAGAAGCTCCATCCAGAGCTTAAGCCACCTTCTTGTAGCCATACTGTTGTTATTGCTGAGGTACCACCACCCACTACCGCAACTCCTGCTGCTGCTCTTCTATGGAAGAGTGATATGGATGCTATCACTTCTCGATTAGATATACTTATGTCTGCTCTGACTTCTCAGAGTCTGACTACTGCTGTTGTCACCACTACAGGTATACCTCTTGCCTTTCACGCTTGTGTCAGTTCATCTCCCCTTTGGATGTTGGACTCGGGTGCGAATGGTCACATGACAGGTGAGACCCATCACTTCACCACTTTTGACGAGCCGTTACATACACAAGTTCAGTTAGCAGATGAGACACATGCCCCTATTATTAGTAGGGGTACAGTCCGTCTCCCAAATGACCTTACATTACATTCGATTTTTCATGCGTCAAAGTTGGCCATGAATCTATTATCTGTACATCAGTTAGCCAAAGATTTTCACTGTACAGTTGTAGTCTTATCTGATTCGTGTTATTTGCAGGACCTGAGTACCAGGAGGATTATTATCAGGGGACATGAGAAAGATGGACTGTATTATCTTGGCAATCCACCTCCAGTTTCACTAATTCCTCCACCTACATCACCTGCACCTGCGTTGTCTTTTTTTGTTCCTAACTTGCATGCTAGTATTTTACCTAGTAGTTGTCGTTATGATTTTTCGTCACAAACTGTTCAGTTATGGCATGACCGTTTTAGACATACAAATTTTAAATATTTATGTATGTTGTTTCCTGCTTTGAGCAATGCTTGTGTTGGCGGTAAACTTGATTGTGTTATCTGTTCCTTATCGAAACATGTTAGGGCCAATTATATTCCTCGCATGCACCAGTCACCCAAGCCATTTGATCTAATACACTCTGATATTTGGGGACCCTCTCCCGTTACTGCTCTGTCAGGTGTCAGATATTATGTGACATTTATAGATGATCATACCCGTTGTACTTGGATCTACCTTTTGTATAGAAAGTCTGATGTACTCCCTATAATCACTCAGTTTTTACAGATGATTAAAACACAATTCGATGTCATTGTTCGTGCTCTTCGTTCGGATAATGCCAAAAAATATGTGTATGATGTCTTAGTGTCTCACCTTTCTTCTCAGGGTATTCTTCAGCAACTCACTTGTCCATATACTCCTGAGCAAAATGGTGTTACTGAAAGGAAAAATAGGAGTTTGATAGGGATGGTACGTTGTCTGCTTAAAGGCATGAGGGTACCAAAATCTTATTGGCATTTTGCTGTTTTGACTTCTACCTTTCTGTACAATCATACGCCGAGTCGTGTTCTTCAGCATAAGGCTCCCTTATAGGTCTTATTTCCTGAGCAGACACTTTTTTCGGTCCCCCCTCGTGTTTTTGGATGCACATGTTTTGTTCAGGATCGGTCTCCTACTCGTCATAAACTTGATGATAAAGTGATTCGTTATATCTTTGTGGGCTATTGTCATCAATCTAAGGGGTATCGGTGTTATGATCCTATTAGGCGCCATATGTATCACAATCTAGATGTTACCTTTCTTGAGCATATTCCTTATTTTTCTTCCAGTCCTGTGTCCGCCCCTCCAGTTGATGATACTCCCTTTGATTTTCCATTACCACAAGAGTCAGAGTCATTGTTCACTATCCCTACAGGGTCATCCGTTTTTCCTCCAAATGAGTCACTCATCCTTGTCAGTACAGAGTTACCAGTCTCTCTTCCTTTGCAGGTGTATGTTCGTCGCCCTCGCTCTCATCACCCTGCTGATGTCCCCTCTACCTCAGGCGATGTAGGTAATACTTCTTAGTTTGTTGAGCATATTGATGCACCTGTTGTTAGTACTGATGAGATTGCAGGTGCTGAGCCAATTCCTTTACCTAATGAGACATTATCAGTAGAGGATGGTGACTTAGGGCGTCGTTTTCCAAGGCGTGATCGCCGTCCAGTTGATCGTTATGGTTGGACCGCCAAGATTTTATATTCGATCTCTGCTTATGTTTCTTATGGTGATCTGTCTCCCACATTTCGAGCTTATACTATGGTCTTATCAGATACGCCGGTTCCTTGCTCTATTTCGGAAGCTATGCGGGAGTCCCAGTGGGTTCTGGCCATGTAGACAGAGATGGACGCTCTTCAGCGTAATCATACATGAGATCTTGTCTCCTTACCTTCAGGGGTGAAGCCTGTTGGCTGTCGCTGGGTTTACACCCTGAAGTTTCTTGCGGATGGTACTATTGATCGTTACAAGGCTAGACTTATGGCGAAGAGTTTTACTCAGGTACCAGGTCATGATTTTGGTGCTACATTTGCCCCCGTGGCAAAATTGACTACTGTTCGGTTGATTATTTCTCTGGCTGCGGAGTACTCTTGGCCTCTTCATCAGTTAGATGTGAAGAATGTGTTTCTTCAAGGTGATCTGAACGAGATTATTTATAGGGATGCACCATCGGGCTTTCGTGGTGAGAGGGAGTATGCTGGAAAGGTATGTCGACTGCGTAAGTCTCTTTATGGACTGAAACAGTCGTCAGGAGCCTGATTTTCTTGCTTTAGTGATGTAGTCGTACGATTGGGGTTCACTAGATGTCTTTCTGATCATACCTGCCTTATTCGATAGAATACTTCTGGACAGTGTGTCATTCTTCTGGTATATGTTGATGATATTATTATTACTGGTGATGATGTTTCTGGGACTGCGCAGGTCAAGATAGACTTTGGGAAGGCCTTTGATGTGAAGGACCTTGGATTTTTACGATACTTTCTTGGGATTGAGGTTGCCCGTAGCGGCAAGGGTGTTGTTCTTTCTCAGAGAAAGTATGTTTTGGATCTTCTTTCAGACACTGGGATACTGGGGTGCAAACCGACATCATCACCCATGATTCCAAACCTGAAGCTTACTGCTGAAGGTGAGGAGTTGAGAGATCCGACAGTTTATCAAAGATTGGTGGGTAGACTTATCTACTTAGTCAATATTAGGCCGGACATTTCATTCGCAGTCAGCCAAGTTAGTCAGTTCATGCACAGGCCGTGTCAGCCTCATCTTGATGCAGTTTATCATATTCTTCGGTACCTCAAGTCTTGTCCTGGACTTGGGTTGTTCTATGCATCAGAATCTCAGACCGGTTCTCTAGCCTGTTATTCAGATTCAGATTATGGAGGATCATGTGATGGTCGATTTACTACGGGCTTCTGTACTTTTCAAGGGACTCATCTTATCTCTTGGAAGAGCAAGAAGCAAGCAGTTGTCTCCCGCTCGTTAGCAGAGACAGAGTATCGGACACTGGCACTTGGCAGGTGTGAGATTATCTGGCTACGATCGATTCTTGACGAGTTAAAATTTTCAGTGACTTCTCCATCCACATTATATTGTGATAATCGATCTGCTATTCAGCTCGCTTCTGACTCTGTATTACATGAGAGGACGAAGCATATAGAGATTGATGTTCACTTTCTTAGGGAAAATGTTAGCAGTGGTATTGTCACTCCATCGTTTGTGGGGACCAGTGATCAGATTGCAGATGTTTTTACCAAACCTGTCACTCTATCTATTTTTCGGGACTCCGTTGTCAAGCTTGACTTAGTTGACATTTCTGCGCCTAGCTTGAGGGGGAGTGTTGGAGATATAGCAGCAGTCTAGTTTATTAGGGTTTTTATTAAGTTTTCTTTTTACCTTTTTGTCTTTATTATAACTCTCATTGACTATATATACAGAGGCTCTACACTTAGTTTGTATTCCTTTTTTACTTACGTTTATTTCAAGTTAGACTATTGGTTTGATCAAGGGTCCATGGGGATGCCGATTGTCAAATCACATATTGTGCCAGTTCCGAGAGCTAGAATGAATGGACCTCACCTCCAAGAAGCTTCTATTCCTTAACTGGTACGCATGGACCCATTGAACCCAAAGATTGTTCTTATTAGTAAATAGTAACCAAATGTACTTGGCCATTAGAGCTAAATTCCAGGCCTTGATTCTCCTTAAGCCCAAGCTTCCCTCACATTTTGGTATGCATACTTCCTCCCAAGAGACTTATGTTCCGTAATTGCCCATTTCAATCCCTTCCCATAAGACTCGTCGTGAATTGTTCCACCCTAGCAATGATCTGTTCTGGCAGATATAGATGAGAAGCGCAATAAATATGTTTAATGCTTATCACAGATTTAATTAGGAATAGTCTATCAGCGTACGACATAGATTTAGGCCAAGGGAGGGACATAAACCACCAAAATAAGAAAAGAATGCAATTGGAAAGATGGGATATGTCGTGTTTTAGCTTGAGTTTCTGAAATATAGAACACTCTCAATCCCATATGTAATAAAACCTTCACGGTTAAGGAATAATGTACAGTAAATTCTTGTAAGCAATTCATTCAGTAGGCTGTACAATGCAATTCTTACTTACTAGCGGGGATGATTCTTACACAACTTATTGCAGATTCAGTGATCTGAACCAGCAGCCTATAGAACAATCGACTTGGAGAATAAAGAGTCTACATGATCTTGGATCCTTGGAGCCCTGTTATCATGTCCATGCTCATAAATAGCTTGAGCAGTTCTTGAGAGGTTAAAGCAGGCTTTGATGGTTGATAGTGGCAGTGTGTTTGGGCCATTAGCTCCGCATTTTGCTATTTCCATTGGTTTTGAATGAGCTGCCTAATATGTGTCCTCGCTTCAGCTTTGGATGAAAGTTTCTGCTCTTTCATGAAGAATTCGATGCTCGATGCTCGATGCTACATCACTCGGTTGTTGCTCCTCCTGATAATATAAATTCTCACATCAATGCATTTTTTGTATATGTTGCTTAATTACCCTTCTACTATCATTTCCAAAAATAAAGCAAATCAAAACCTGTTACATAGTGATATTAATGCAAGTGAGCAATCATCTGAGAAACTTTTAAATTTGTATGAGAGGATAAGGTACCAATGCTTGGACCCTCTATTTCTTGCAATTTATATGTTGCTATATACTTTTCTGTTTTTCTAATACTAATTTTTTTTTAATTCGTTTACTGTTAATATTTTTAATCTCATAAATTGGTTGTAGAGCAAGATGAATGTGCAGAACGTTTGAATTGTCAACATGTTTTTGATTTGTTTCATCAATATATTTTTGGTTTATCTCATCTAATATTATTAGTATTTCTCGAGTTTTAATCTAATTTTTTGTTACGTCGTGTCTTCAGGCACAAAAAGGCATGAACAATTATTAGTAATACAATATAAAAGAAAAGGAAAAGGAAAAGGAAAAGGAAAAGGAAAAGTCTTTTCTAATACAATGACGAGGACAGACTAATCTAATTGAACTGCAGTCATCAAGGAGAAAGTAACGAGCAGTGAGGTTAGCAGAACTTCAAGAATACAAGACAAACACAAAACGACATTCCATCTACCACCGCACCACATCCTTATCCCCACTGCTCGTTCAACCTCCAAATCGGGGTTTTGTTCTCAGAATTACGTTGTGGACTCGATTATGTCAGCCTCTGAGGTATTAATTCATACTTAATCTGATTTTCTCGATTTCGAACTCGATCTCTTGTATGTGTTTCTGAAACTTGTATGGGTTCTGTTCATCATTTTTTGGGATAACTGGGAACAGAAATAGGTATTATGATGGTGTTAGCGTCAAATTGTAGTCATATATGTATGTGTGTGCGTGTGTTTGGGTGTGAGGTGTGAGGTGTGTTTGTGTTCACCTATGCATGATTATGAGTTGTGTTTCATGATTTCATTGGAAATGGCATGGTCAGAGTAAAATGATGCTGTGAACTGATATATATTTTATGCGTTTAGGGTTTGTGCATTGCTTCGATAGATGCCAATTCGGCTTTGGAAATAGGACTACAGACTACAGGAATTTGATTAGTTGAATTAGAAAGTTTGTTAGGATCGTTAATGGTGAGATTGTGAGTTTTTTAATTCTTTGGATGCATTCAGATTTTGAAATGAGGGGTTATCCTTTGTGGGTTTTTGGTTTTGTGGTATATGTTATTGATGGTATTTCTTTGTTGAGTGAGTTAGGTACTGGAGCTAGAAGAGTGAGCTGTTGGGATCCCAACTACGGCATTTCTCTACCTCATTGATTGGAACCCAACCAATGACTGATCAGACCTCCTCCTCCTTTTCCAACAACGCGCCGCCATCCAAGTCCAACCCACTACCATCATTACTACTTCCGAACCTCCCAGATGATATTGCACTGCAATGCATTGCCAGAGTCCCCAAGTCATATCACCCCACACTATCTCTTGTCTCCAAGTCATGGTTGTCCGTCATACGCACCCCGCTTCTCTTCACCACCCGATCTCTCCTCCATTGCACTCAACACTTCCTCTATCTCAACATCCGCATCTTCAACACATTTAATTGGTACTTACTAGATTGTAGTCCTTCAAACCCTAAAAACCATAAAAGAACTCTTTATCCTCTGCCTCCTATTCCCTTGCATCTCACTGGGCCTGCTTTTGCCGTTTTAGGCCCCAAAATCTTTGTAATCGGTGGGTCAATCCATGACATACCCTCAAACAATGTTTGGATTTTCGATTGTCGGTTCAACAAATGGGAAATTGGGCCCAAAATGCGTGTAGGAAGAGAATTTGCTGCTGCTGGGGTAGTGAATGGAAAGATATATGTAATGGGTGGGTGTGTAGTTGATAATTGGGCTCGATCGATGAATTGGGCTGAGATTTTTGATCCAAAGATGGGGTCATGGACTTCTCTACCAAGCCCGATTGAAATTAGGGACAAGTGGATGCATGCTAGTGCAGTTGTCAATGATAAAGTGTATGCAATGGCTGATCGGGGCGGTGTGGTTTACGATGCCTATGCAAAGGAATGGGGTGGGGTGCCAAAGAGGCTTGATTTGGAGTGGAGGGGACGGGCTGCAGTGGTGGATGGGGTGTTGTACTGTTATGATTACTTGGGAAAGATTAGGGGCTATGATATGGGGGAGGATGTGTGGAAGGAGTTGAAAGGGGTGGACAAGGGTTTACCAAAGTTTTTGTGTGGTGCAACAATGGTGAATTTTAATGGGAGGTTGTGTGTGGTGTGGGAGGGGAAGGGGAAGGGGAAGGGGAAGGGGAGTGGGAAAGAAGTGGAGATTATGTGTGCGGAGATTGAGGTTCATAAGGATGGGGGAGGAGGGTTAAGTGGGTCGATTGTATGGTCCAATGTGATACTTGTGATTCCGAGTCATGCTTCAATAGTGCATTGCTTGGCAGTAGCGTTGTGATGGCATAACAGGAAGGTATGTTGTTTCATATATGAAGCTTTGTTTGAATTCAAATTCTCCCCTCCACCTCGAGTTACACACTTTTGAATTTGTCGTCCGTCAAAACTTGTATATATATGCACATATGATGTGTTGAAAACTTGTGTATGACACTGTGCATCTCAATGTCCTCCAAAGTTTTGTGCTTGGAACTATTGTGGAAAAGGTGAGGGATTGTAATAAGAAAAACTATGGATTTAAGATGGATCAGGTGCCTGTGACGTTTCAAAGAGTTAAAAAACTACTATGAAGGTTTTTAGCACAAACAAATGCACATTTCACACGACTATAAAACCTGTCTCTGTAGAATGCATGGTAATGTGTTCAAACTGTTGTGCTGATATGGAATGGTAATGAAAAGGGCTATAAGCTTAAGCTTGACCAGGTCGGGATTTGACTGTTGATTTGCTTCACTTATTGTCCAAATCTAAAACACTAAACTATAAAATGTGAATTATGTAATTGAACTGTTTGTACGCTGTTGTTACTTGTGGAGAATTGAGACCTTAAACTTGCATTTATGGTTTGGGGTGCCTACCCCTGCGCCATGCCCCCAGTCCACATGAAAACTTTGATTTTTTCGTATTATGTGACGGACTGTTGTTTTCTTAGTCTTGTTCTTTAGGTGCCGTACTGTTTGAGGAATGAAATTGTGACTGCTCACTAACTGTACAAATGCTGGGTATTGAGTGCAATAAATGCCCATTTTAACATGTGGTAGAAGTGATGGAACATCAATGCCCAGAAATGTTGTAATCTCTAGTAAAAAAATAAATTGCCCAACTCCTGTGTAACTTTCTGATTTCTACAATCATTTCTACCTGGGAATTTGTTTTGTTTGAGGGGAAGGGAATGGAAGAGAAGGAAAGAGTGGGAAAAGTTGGATGATGAGAAATTTCCTCCCTTTTTGGTGGATGAAGATGGATAGGATTGGAAGAGGAGAAAAGAAGAGAGTAAACAAAGTTTGAATCTTCTCAAAAAAAAAAAAAAAAAAGGTTAATAGTATTTTTGGTTCCTGAAGTATGTATTTTTTGTTAGTTTAGTCGTCATTATATTAATTTTGTCAATTAATCCCTAAAATATTTAATTCGTATCATTTTAGTCTCTACATGGATAGATCGTTAAATTTTTAACGAAATGATCACATGTTGGGCATGTGATACCATCTAAAAAATGACACGTAAAATTGATGAATTGTCTAATTGGAGACCAAAATGACATAAATTGAATATTTTAGGGACTAAATTGATAAACTTAATATAATGAGAATTAAACTGATAAAAAATAATATTTTAGAGACCAAAAGTGTTATTACTGAAAAAAAAATGTAAACAAAGTCTAAAGTTTAGCAAAAACACCACTCTTTCTTTCTCTTCTCATATGTGGTATGATAGCGAAAAAGCAGTGGATAGAGATTAAAAAAGAAGCAAAAAAAATAAAAATATTTTCTTTTGTTTGATTGCAATAAGACAGTTTATTAATATACTAGTTATTGTCAGTGCTTTAAGGCGCGGAGTAATAAAAAAAATCAAAATTAAATGACAAATATAAAAGAGAAAGAAAGATTTAAGCATCGATTGTAGTGAGGGTGAATGGTGGTGGACGACAGTGGTCGTGGGTGATGACTACTGTGTTGGGGGTGGCAGTCGTGGGTGGTAATGATGATGGTGGTGGTGAGTTTTAGATGACGATAATTGTAGTGACATCCATGAATAATGACGGCGGTTGTAGTGGTGGTGGGCGACGGTGGGTGTGGCGGTGGTGGGTTGTGGTGGTGGTAGGATTGCTAGGGGTGGGTGATAGTGGATGGTAGGCGACGATGGGTGATGGCGGGTTGTGGTAATAGGTGGTGGTGGGTGCTGATGGGGAGCGACGGTGGCAGCAAGATGATGTTGGTAGTAATAATAAACATAAGAATAAGATGTCGATGGTGGTAGCAGTGGATGATGGTGGTAACACCAATCAGTGGTGAGTGGTGGTGGGGGTAGCGGTAGGGCAGTTGGGTGGGGTGGGGTAGTGGCGGTGGTGGTAGCGATGGTGGGGTGGCAGTGGCGGTGACAGTGGTTGTTATGATAGAGGTGGTGGCGGTGATGGTGATGGGGTGTTGGTGGTGGCAGAGGTGGCGGTGGGGTGGCAGTGATGGTGGTGGGACGGTTTTAAATACTATTCTTTTAAAAAAAATACCTATGAAAAGTTATAAGTTCTAAAAACATTTTTAAAAAATTGCCTCAAACATATCCGTAGGGGTTTATTTTTTCTATTAAATTTGATGTATTAATATTAGTCGTCGGATTAACTTTAAAATAAAATTAAATAGATTTCAACCATAAAAAATAAAAATCGTTTGTTAATTTTTTGAGATTTGAATTGTATTATACTTTATTATATAGATATTACATGTTAAATTTAGTGACAATATATTGTGTCATGGTTTCTCGGGTATGGTAATGTCTGCATCGTCTAACTAATCTGATCTACGAGCTAGTAGTAGGGCCAATGAGAAATAGATAGATTATCTAATATTTGTTGGCATTTGCATGGTCGACTGCGCATTATTAGTTTTTCACAAAGTAATGAATGTTACATCTTGGACAAATCATTTATTATAAGTACCGTCGTTGACATGTTAATATGCATTGCCAAGATACAAATTCAAGTATAGTTTTATAAAGAGTTACAAAGGTTAACAATTTTTTATTTAGACGATGTGATCATGTTAATACCGTCAATTGATTATTTTTAAAATATAATAAAGTTCAGTATTTAATATTTGTATATTTTAAATATGTGCATGTTAATTTTTTTTTTAATCATTGTTTGAATTTTGTGTCGAATTTTACGATTTAAAATTCTCAATTCTCAAATTTAGGATTTCGATTTTTGATATGAATTCAATTTGATAACTTTGTGCGTTAGTGAATATGTAATCAAATAGTTTCTGAAAATATAACCTGCGGCATGTCAATAGTTATATTGGGGTCAATAACGATAAGCTTGCTTCCTTGTATCTGAAGTTTGCTCCACGGGACCTTATGCTTGTTTTGCCTCTCTCTCTCTCTCTCTCTCTCTCTCAAATCTGAACAAGTAATTTAAATTTACAGCAAAGCCTATCTAACTTAAGGGAGGAAAAAAAAAGACCCTCAAAACAGTCTATGAATAATGCGATCATGGTCTATTCAACGACTGGTGACTCATTTGATGGGTTCCTCTTGGATGACATTGCTGCTTCGGGTTACCAACCAGACACAGTTTGTTAAGTAAGAATCACTAGTCTTGCATGGCCAAATTTTTTTCTCGAATGAGACGGGTAGAGTTTATTTTGTTGATAGATTGATTACTTCATTACAACTCTTTGTAATGGTCCATTCGATGTGTATGGTATGGTATGCTCTTAAATAGTTTTAGGGTGATGGTTCAAGTGTTTGGAAGGAAGTGTGTGATGGACCAAATTTGATGGTTTCACATATTTTCACAAAAACTGTTGATTATTCGGAACTATTGCCCCAAAATTGAATGTAGCCATTATAGCAAACTCATAGCATTTACGAGTAACAAGTGGCAGATACGTATAGCCCTCGCAATATTCTTTATGTTAATATGGTGTACAAGATCAGCAATATGAAACTCAAAGGTAAAATGAAGCCAAGCCAAAAATGTGTGTGTGTGGGAGAGAGAGAGAGAGAGAGAGCAGGTTGCATCTAGAAATCAGAAGAAGAAATTTGGAAATTCCCTCCTCTCAAACAAATCCCCGCTACCCAATTATTTGCATAGCTAATAATTTCTGCAAAAAAGGTTCTCTAATCCCCACTAGTTCTTGTGAGCAAAATTTTACAAGCTAATAAAAATAGGCAATTATGCCAAAAAGATTTGGAAATGAGAACATCAGCTTGAGAAAAAAAATTAAGAGACTCGATGCCAGATTTACTAAATAATACACATGGTCAAGTGTGCTCCATGTCGGAGGTGAATAGAAAAGAAGCCGGACTGATTTAGTCGTCCAAAGGCTTTAAGTGGGTAAGGTGACATACGAGAGAGAACTTAGTTTACACTACTACGTACCTTGAGCAAGTACTCACAACACAACATGCATAGAAAGAACATGGTAGTTGGTCTTATTTCTTCAAATATTTCTCAATTTGTAGGAGTGCCTGTCAAAACGTACACTCAAATTAGGTAAGCAAATAAGAATAGCAAAAGAAACATGAAGCTTGGATCACTACTGAAATCAAACAATGTTGAAGCTAAATCCCGAAAATTGTTCAATGAACCAACATGTGCACATGCACACGCAAATACAAACTCACACACACGCGCAGAGAGAGAGAGAGAGAGACCTCAATTGCAATTACAGTTGGTGAGAGATTGCACACGTCTACATATCCAAGTTTGTCAGCAATATCTA